TCTCCCTCTCAGATAAATAAAATCTTAAAAAAAAAAAAAAAAAAGCCACTATGATTTTGAGCAAAATGTGAATCCTAATTAGCATGATGACTTTTAGTTAGTCACAGTCTTCAATTTCTACTTCTAATTTGAGAATTATATTACTAATTATTCATAATGGTTATTTTGGAGATTGAGTAATGACTTTCTATTATTTCAGTATATTATTTCTCTACTTCAAAAACTTAAGTTGGGGGCTTAGTATTCCAAAATAATGAGATGTTTTAAAGGTTTTGTGAAATAAATGTCATTAAACTGCAAAAAGCATATATGCGCAAAAGATGTATATTTCTTCCATAGGAGATGCACCCTTAAAGGATATCACTGATCCTATTTTCAGAGCATCCTGGATAGCTCAAAAAGTTAAGTTGGCCAAAACACAATATATGGATGGAATTAATATAGACATAGAGCAAGAAGCTAATTGTTTATCACCGGAATATTATGCATTAACCACTTTAGTCAAAGAAACCACAGACTCTTTCCATCGTGAAATTAAGGGATCACAGGTAAAAGTTCATTTGTTATTTTTTGGATTTCCTTATTTTCCCTATCAAAATGTATTCATGAAAGTGTGACTAATAGAATCTCAGCTTTACTGAGTAGGAGAGAATTTCAGCACATATATCCTAAAAATGTTTTCTGAACTTTTGAAGTTCTTATTAGAGTTTTATAGAATTTTAAGGTGCTCTGTTCTCTGTCCATATGAAGACACAGCATTGAGATTGTTCTCCCTACTTGCCTTGCAGCAGGGTTAGAGATATTAAATAGGCAACTGGATCAGCAAGAATCAGGAAGTGCTTACTGTCCAGCCCTGCTTTCACTAGGGCAGGACAGAAATAGCTCTTGCCTAAGAGTAGACATAGTTCTGGGGAAGTGTCTCACTCACTTCATAGGCTCTGAATTACTTGTAAAGCACCTGACCTCCAAGAAAGCTCTAAGTACTAACTCCATATAATTTGACAGAGCTATGACAAAGCCTTCCCCATTGCCATAGTGAGCATGATTAGAGCAGAAGATCACAGCAAAAGGCATCTTGCCAGGCAATATATGGGTAATAAAAGATAATGTGGCCCTGGATCAGTGATCTCAAACCTGACCACATATTAAGATAACCAAGTCTTTCTTTTCTTTCTTTTTTTTTTTTCCTTTTTTTGAGAGCATGCATGCATGCAAGCAGGCAGGGGAGGGGCAAAGGGAGGAGCAGAGAGAATCTTAAGTAGGCTCCATGCTCAGCACAGAGCCTGGTGCCAGGGCTTGATCTTATGACCCTGAGATCATGACCTGAGCCCAAATCAAGAGCCAGACACTTATCCAACTGAGCCACCCAGGCACCCCAAAATAACCAAGTCTTTAAACACACACACACCCACCCACACCCACACACACACACACACCTCAATGAAGCAAGTCAAATGAACTTTTTGGCTTTCCAGTACATATAAAGTTATGTTTACTCTTTACTATAGTCTATTGAGTGTGCAATAGTATTACATCTGAAAAATAATGTAAATACCTTAATTAAAAAATACTGTATTGCTAAAAATGCTAACCATCATCTGAGCTTTTCACCAAGTTGTAATCTTTTTGCTGGGAAAGGGTCTTGCCTTGATGTTAATGGCTGTGACTGACCAGGGTGGTGGTTGCTAAAGGTGGGGGAGGCTGTAGCAATTTCTTAAAATAAAACAAAAATGAAGTTTGCTGCACTGATGGACTCTTCCTTTCACAAACAATATCTTTGTATCATGCAATGCTGTTTAAATAGCATTTTACCCACAGCAGAACTTCTCCCAAAATTGGAGTCCATTCTCTCAAATCTTGCTGCTGCTTTATTGACTAAATGTATGTAATTTTCTAAATCTCTTGTTGTCATTTCAACGATCTTCATAGCATCTTCACCAGGAGTAGATTCCATCTCAAGAAACCACTTTCTTTGCTCATTCATAAGAAGCAATTCCTCATCTGTGAAAATTTTATCATGAGATAGCAGCCATTCAGTCACATCTTCAGGCTCTACTTCTACTTCTAGTTCTCCTGCTAGGTCTACCACATCTACAGTTACTGCCTCCATGAAAGTCTTAAACCCCTCAATGTCCTCCATGAGGGTAGGTCCTGTTCCAAACTCCTCTTACTGTTAATATTTTGATTTCTTTCCCATGAATCACAAATGTTCTTAATGGCATATAGAATGGTGAATCCTTTCCAGAAGGTTTTCTTTCTTTCTTTTTTTAAAGATTTTTTATTTATTTATCTGAGAGAGAGAGAGCACATGAGAGGGGGGAGGGTCAGAGGGAGAAGCAGACTCCCTGCTGGGCAGGGAGCCCCATGCAGGACTCGATCCAGGGACTCCAGGATCATGACCTGAGCCGAAGGCAGTCGCTCAACCAACTGAGCCACCCAGGCACCCCAGGTTTTCAGTTTACTTTGCCCAGATTCTTCAACGGAATCATTGTCTGTGGCAACTGTAGTCCTACTAAATACGTTTCTTAAATAATAAGATTTGAAATTTGGAATGACTATTTGATCCATGGGCTGCAGAATGGATGTTGTGTTAGCCAGCATGAAAACAACATGCATCTCATTGTCTATCTCCATCAGAGCTCTTCAGTGACCAGGTACATTGTCAATGAGTAGTCATATTTTGAAAGGAATCTTTCTTCAGTAGCTCTTAACAGTGGGCTTAAAACATTCAGTAAACCATGTTGTAAACAGATGTGCCCACATCCAGCTTTTTTATTCCATTTATAGAGCACAGGCAGAGTAGATTTAACATAATTCTTAAGGGGCCTAGGATTTTCAGAATGGTCAGTGAGAAATGGCTTCAACTTAAAGCCACTAGCTACTTTAGCCCCTAACAAGAGACTCAGCCTGTTTTATGAAGCCTTGAAGCCAGGCATTGACTTCTTTCCAGGTATGGAAGTCCTAGATGGCATCTTCTTCCAATAGAAGGCTGTTTTGTGTATCTTAAAAATCTGTTGTTTAGTATAGCCACCTTCATTAATTATCTTAGCTAGATCTTCTAGATAATTCACCACAGCTTCTATATCAGCACTTGCTGCTTCACCTTGCATTTTTTTTTTAATGGAGAAAACTTCTTCCCTTAAACCTCATGAAACAAACTCTGTTGCTCCAAACTTATTTTTGCAGCTTCCTTACTTCTCCCAACCTTCACAGAATTTAAGGCCTTATTCTCTGGATTAGGCTATGGCTTAAGGGGATGTTGTGGCTGGTTTGATCTTCCATCCAGACCACTACAACTTTTTCCATATCAGCAATATGGCTGTTTTGCTTATTTTTTTTAATTTTTAGTATTTTTTATTTTTTTATTTTATTATGTTAATCGCCATACATTACATCATTAGTTTTTGATGCTTTCTTATAATACATGTGTTCACTGGAGTAGCACTTTTAATTCCTTCAAGAATTTTTTCTTTCACAACTTGGCTGTTTGGCACAAGAAGCCTAGCTTTTGGCCTTTCTCAGCCTTTTTTTTTTT